ATCTACTGAAACCACTTTCTAAATCTTATGGCATATAGATGAAATATTTGTTTCACTTAAAATACTCTTCTTGAAAAGGGAAAGAACCATTGTGCTGAAACAGAAGAAATGGAAATATCACTATTTTCCTGCTTCTAATTTCTCTATGAAACTCATGAAGTCAATCAGTGATAAACTATTTCAATATAAGGGTAATAGACAAAGACCAAAGTTTGTGCAGTTTAGGGGGATTTCTATTGCCACCTAGTGTCTAACTTTATAATGGACTGGTTTCTGAACATGACAACAGGCCTAAAAAGTGGAACAGAGTCTTTGAAAGGAAAAGGTAATTACCACACCTTTCAATTCAATTTCTTAACTTTTTCTTTAAAAACAACCAACAACCACTGATTTCTCTATGAATCAGTAGGAATGTGAAAATACTTTTTTAAAAAAATCACATAGCAAAGAGAAAAATTCATGGCAACTGTTTTCTCTTTCGTGTGTGTGTGTGTGTGTGTGTGTGTGTGTAGCTGCATGTGAGCATATGTATACAAGTACATGCATATGTAAGTGGAAGCCAAAGATAAGTGGTCATTCATCATATGGCTTCTACATTTCTTCTTTTCTTTTTAAAAAGGTATGTCATCAGCCTGAATTTCAACAGTAGGCCAGGAATTTGCCTATCTCTGCTTCCCCACACTTGGATTATAAGAGTGTTCCACTGTGCCCAGGATTTCATTTTTTAGTGTGGGTTTTGAGCATCAAACTCAGGGTTCTGTGTTTACAGCATGTACTTTATTGACTAAGATATGTGCATAGCCATCAAAATTAACAATTTATTATTTTGAGTCAGCATAAAGACCACCAAGATACACTATCCCTAAGAAATTTTAATGCTTACCAAGATTAACACTGATTATTTTTTCTTTTTCTAAACTTATTTCCTATAGGAACAATTTAGTTTGGAGAACACACTTTATGTGCCAAAGGCTTTCTTTGCTTGATAATTATAGTCTAATTTTAGAGACTTAATAGTTAATCTACTGTTTTGCAAACAACTCAATTTTCTGCCCGGCAGCCTAAATGCCACTGATGGGAGAAATGTTATTTAACTAGTTCTAACAGCACCATGAAAACAGCCCCAGTGAATGTTTCTGGAAATAGACAAACCTCAGCACTGTAATGATGTGTTTCAACATGCATTTGAATAGCCACTTATTTTCCATGTCATGAGCATAACATAGTACTGCAAATTACAACTCTAGTGATTTACTGGCCTACAATATGATAGTCAAAGACAATTTCTTTCTATAAGAAGAGATGTCAGCAGTTGGCACATAAATGTCATACTCCAATGTTCTCATAAAGATTGAGTTTTGTTATAAAGTCAAGCTGGGCAGTTTTGCCCTTCTAGACGTTAGTCTAGTAGAAGACAGGTTGAAAGAGCATGTAAACATGATAACTACCCCTTCTCTAAAAATAAATGGTACAATTTGACTTTGGCAAATGGTCAATATGACTTACTTACTCGAGAAGTTCTCCAACACATTCATGGTTACTCCATTTAGTTTTGACTTTTCATTGTATAACAAGTTCTGTGTAATGGAAAATAGCAAGAAGCATATAAACATGAATAATTTTATTGTAAATGAAGACAGCCTGTCTCTTGACTCTGCTCTGTAAGTTATACCACATAAGACCACTAAAAACATAAAAGTTGCTATTTATTTGTTTAGACTGACTTGCAATTCTAAAAGCCATATGTTTTGTCATGATATTTTCTCATGAAAGGCATGGCCTTAAGCTAAGATCTTTGTTATCAATAGTCACCAAATCTAGGTTTCAGTCATTGCTACCTTTGCCATGGGTGGCCATATGACCAAATGCATTGATAAAAATATGACAATAATGTCAACAGTGCACTTTTTAAAAAAGTAAAAATGTTAATAAAAATAAAATATGACAATAAGATATACTGATTTGAATAAATATAGTAGCAGAAAGATAAAACAGTTACTGAATGCTGAAAGAGGGGAAAAAAGTGAACCATATAACTCTTCCTACAAAAGAGGGAAAATAAAAAAAGGCATCACATAGATGTAATTCCCACACTGTTGAAGCAGAGGTAGGAGGACCAGGAGTTCAAAGCCATCCTTGGCTTCATAGCAAGTTTGAGGCAAGCCTAAAGTATTTTCAAACATGACCAGAATAAGGATATTTAGTAATAAATTAAACAAATTATATTCCTGAACTTGTGATTTTTAGTTTGTTTTGGTATTAACAAGAAGCTCTTCTCCAAGCTCCTTAATCTTTTGTTAGTTACTCCACAAATACCTAGTTCCCAGAAAAACTAATTAGAAATTTCACTTTAAGTTTCCAATATCCCAAATCATATAGAAAATGTGTATTCATTTCATAAATTTCTCAAAGTCATAATTTTTACCTTGAAATAACATAAAAGGGACAAATGTCATCATCAGTTTGGACTTGCGCAAAAATTTTCTAGAATCCTATCTTCATTAATTTTTTTTTTATGCAAACTGCAGGAGGCTTTATTGTAGTTGTTTAACAAGCTACAAGTGTTAGCTCTGGCCTTTCATCCACCCGCCATGGTGGATGGCTAGAAAAGACAGCAAGAAGCCACTGCATAGAGATCTTATAGGGCAGCATAAGGGGAGTGTCTAGGGGTACGCACAGGCTCAGGATTGGTGTGCCTCCAGGCTTGGAGGGCTTGCCCTGTATTGATTGGCCAACTGGTTGTTATGGCCCATAGGCCCTCCCAGGGTGCTTGCTATGCTCTGCGCGCCATTGCTGTGCTCTTGTCCGTAAAGCACACCCAGAGCGGTAAAGAATACCGCCACCAGCTAACTTCTGATTGGTTCCTTGCCACGAGGCAGGCACCTAACCTCTAGTGACCAAGGCAAGGTCAGACAAGCACTCGTTCGGCTGTTATGGCTGCCAAAACTGGGAGATGGTCCCTTCATTCCCCCATTTTTTTTTCTTTTTTTTTTGGAAATTCCAATCATGGAATTATTATCTCTCTAGCGCCCCCATCAGGGAGTGAGACATTAAGTTTGAATGCTGCCAGCTAACATTGGGATGCCAGCATAGTTTGGTTCTGGTGAAGGTTGTCTTCTAGGGCCTCACATCCTGGAAAGAATATGAGAGCTGACATCTCTCTTGTAAGGCAGCAATCCATTCATGAGAGAGCCACTCTCACAATTTAATTGCTTTCTTAAGGTTCCCCTCTTGATGCTATCACATGGGGACTTGGGGGTTCTAAATTGGAATTTGGATGTGGAAAAAAATATTCAGTCCACTACAGGCCTCTAAAATGAATCTCTCCAGATCAAAACTATAGCAGGTATTGGGGAGAGTGACTACACAAGTCTGTTCTTCTTCATAACTTTTAGTAACCTAGTCAAAGACACATACAGAGTATTTGGAGCCAGATAGAAAGGTGTGTTTCATTTTTTGTTTATTAATTTTTCCTTATTATTTTAAGACTTATTTTAAGCACATGTATGTGGATGGAGGGCGCTATGTATACTTTAGTATAGATGCTCATGGAGTCCAGAAGACAACCTTGGAGTCACAAGCAATTATTAGCTGTCCCATGTGGGTGCTGGCAACTGACCTGGGTTCTCTTAACCATTGAGTAATATTTTTAGTCCCTATTTTTTATTCTTGAATGTTCCAGACATCATATAATAAAATATATCATATCAACACCTCAGATGTTACATTATTTTTCTCTCTTCTTCTACAGTGTTACTTAGGACTGCTCAGCCCTAAAAGGGACATCTATCTATTCTACTTTTTCTGTTTTCTAGCTATGTGTGATTATAGCCATACAATCTTCCATGTTTTTAAAAGCAAAGCCAGTCAGTCTCCTGACTATGTTTCTAGGAATTCCCAATAAGTATAACTATGAGAAGCCATCGTGAATAATGTCCCAGCAATGGTTATTCATCCCTGTGTCTCTTATCAGGTATTGATTCATATACCAGTGTCCTGCCAGATACCTGTAAAGCTTTAATAAATACAATCTGGTAGATGGGATTTAAAAAGAAACCAGGGAACTTTAATAACTATTCCACGAGACCAAAATCCTATCAAATTATGTCAGAATAAATACACACAAGTCAGAAGCTACAAACATGTTATTAAAATATTCTGGGTTAACTAAGATTGATTTATGCTCCACGTGTTGAAAAGTAAGTGCAACATAGTAAAAGTATCAAGTTTTCCCAATCAAAAGATTGGGAAAATGTACATTTCATAAAAGCAAAAGAAATACAGGGTTAGACGCTAACATGGCAAAATCAGACAGAGTTCAGAGGAAGGGAAGGTGACGTGGGGCTCATCACATACATGAGATGTAATCAGAGATATTAGGTCATGGACCAGTGTGATGAAGTCAGGACAGACAGACACACAGCTGGAACTGAATGTGGATTTGGAAGTATTCTCACTTCCAGAAGTTGACTGACAACATCCACCCATTCTTACCCAACACAAACACCTGCTGAGTTCCTTCTGTCTGAAAGATTGTGGAGAAGTGGAAAGGAAGAATGTGTTTGAAAGGGGGGGTTTCATATTTACTGTCTCCAAAGCACCAGGCTTTGTGATAAGCACTTTACGCTAAAACTCATATTCAAGAAGTCTTAAAAGTGACAAGAGAAATGCAAAGTGCTCCCAAGGGAATCCATAACCACAGTATAAGATGAAGATGGTTCTTGTCATGTGAGAGTCTTAAATTTAGAAATAGCCTGAGCATAGACATTACTCTAGCTAGGGCCAGCTCTGGATGAGAAGGCATGACTGTCAGCTTTCGAGCTGGTGTGAAGTTAGAACTGCAAAAAACAAACATCAGAAGTTAGAACTGAGAAATTCGGCTAGAGTTAGGTCATGTGGTGCAGTGGGGACTGAATACAAAATAATAAACTTACATTGTATTGCACAGACAGTAACAGCAAGGAACAAATGCAGAGGAGTGGCAATATGAAAGTCACATTTTCCGTATGGCAGTAATTTCAGAGATGACGAATAAATCTGTGTGAGAGCCTTCATTTAAACAGGACAGGAGACTAACTGGAGAAAGGGAAGGCTCTAAAACTGAGGGTGGGCTAAGGAAAGAGCAGTAGGTGTGAGCTGCTGGGACCATAGACTTCTGCTTTGAGTTCCATTAAAGTCACTGACTAGACAGTACGTTTGGGGACAGACTATTTTGCCTCTGACATTTATTCTTTTCATTTGTAAAGAAATAAAGCTGAGAAATGTCCTTTTTAAAATTTATCATTCTTATTTGGTTTCAGCATTCTACTTCATAACAGGTATGTTATGTTCTTGTTGGTATTTCTAGCCAGCAAGTGTTTGCCTAAGCAAATGCTTGCAACCCTTAAATGAACTTTTTATTAGACAGACTGCCAATCAGAAATTTCTTTGTAATGCTTACCCATTGCCAGTGAGTAATCCGTTTTCCTCTCATTTGTCTCTAGGTTTGTGTTATATTAAAATATAATAATATAAACAGCCCTCTTTTCCATTAGATAGAAAGAAATACTGTGTGAGATATAATCAACTAATCAATCTTCAAAGTATTTAACTTTGTTAATTGTTTGATAATCTGAATGAGTCTTTCTTTCATAAGTCTTTGAACCTGAAGCTCAAAAGACCTGAAAGATCATCTAATCCTACTCTGATTATAAACTCAGAAATCAAAACCTTCAATTATATATCAATCTATAAATTCAAATAGCAACAAAATGGAACTCACCTGAAAGTTCTTTGATTGCTGGACTAGCTGGCTTAGTCATCTGATCAAACTGTCTCTCCAAAATACATGTAGCATTTTTTTAAAAATGGCTCTGAGCCTAGAGAAATGACTCAGCGGTTAAGAGCACTGGGTTCTCTGCCAGATGACCTGGGATTAATTCCCAGCATCCATATGGTAGTTTACCATTGTGAGTAACTCCAGTGCTGGGGAACCCAACACCCTTTTCTGGCTTCTGAAGGCACCACACACACATGATGTGCAACCATACAGACAGGCAAGACACTTAAAATAATAAAAATATTTTTTAGAGAATTAGTTCATTGAATCATGCTTTGTAAAGCATGTGAACATGAGTCTGTTGCTTGATGATTGAATTTGTATCCTGGCCTAGCCACATTCAACCAAAAGAAAGTAACTGACACTCCATTAAGCTCAGTTTACTTCTTGACAAATGGTGAAAGTAATTCTTCTAAAGTTGCTGGAGGATTAAAAGAGGAAAAATAAGTATGGGGATTTGCATAAGAATGGCTCCTATATGCACATGTATTTGAACGCTTCATCACCAAGGATTGGAACTCTTTTTGATAAGATTGAAAGGATTAGCAAGTGTGGCCTTTTTCAAGTAGATGTGTTCTTGTTGGGGGAAGATTGGGGGTGGACTTTGGATTTTAAAACCCAATTCCAGGCCCAGTCTCTCTCTCTCTCTCTCTCTCTCTCTCTCTCTCTCTCTCTCTCTCTCTCTCTCTCTCTCCCTGTCTCCCTCTCTCTCAGGATGTAGCTCTCAACTGCTTCTCTAGCACCATGCCTGCCATGCTTCCTGCCATGATGACAATGTATTAAACCTCTGAAACTCTAAGAAAGTCCCAATTAAATGCTTTCTTGTATAAGAGCTGCCTTGGTGTCTCTTCACAGCAATAGAACAGTGACAAAGTAAGGTGTGTGGTACAGGGTCTGATGCAGTCCCCTGAGTTTTCTCCCTTTATCCCCATGTTGTCTCCTAAGAATAATTGATATGTATTTAGTTCTTCAAAACTGTAGCATCCCACAATCTAATGTACAATAAGTGCTTCTCTCTGAATAAATGATTTTTCATGTTCAATATGCTTTGTTGCAGTATCTTCCATGATGGTATTATTAACATAACTTGCAGAATAAGTTAATAGATAAATGTATGAATGAAACAAATAGATGACTAGGTCTTAGCTAAGACAGAAATTTCTTAGTTCTAGAAGTATCCAATGTTTTCTCAAAAACATAGAATTAGAACTTGGAATAAATGGAATAAATCTACAGGACACCTCAGCATATCCTTAGAAAATATTTGTACATGACTTGTATGAATGTAGATCTCCCTAAAATAAACTGATTCATAGTTTGCATTATATACTGAAAATGTTCTGTGCCTCCTAAAGTATTAAGAGCCACTACTACAAACCTGGCCCAAGCCTCATAGTGCACACTATCTCAGAAAATGTCACCACCACAGTATTCTTCAATGAAGACCATGACTTATTTGTAATGTCAATCCACAACTATTAATTGTCTATAAAATATCTTAGAGATCAGGATCTTCTTGGGAAATGACATTTGGATCTTAGAATTTTATTGTATTATATTTTGCAAATAAGATAATTCTCCGTCTATTTGCAACCACTTATTTTCATGTGTGAAATACAGTCTTCATTTGGTTCATTAACAACAATATGCTATTTCCCTGCATTAATTATTTTCTGAATGGTTTTTCCCTACCATTAAATTTTCATAAACACCAGTTTTTATAAAAATGAAATATTATTAACATTCCAAGCAGACTTGTCAGAATCAAGTACATCACGATACTGGTTTACAGGTTAAGGCTCTGGACATAGACAAACCTAGGTTTTCTTCATAATCCTTCCCTCTCACCCCCAGTTGAGCGTGGCTGAGTCACTGTGATCTGCTGGTCTTTAGTGAGTTCCTTAACATCTTTCAATGTAGCTGTAGAATAGGATTAATAAGTGAGCAAATGTTCAAAGTATGAGACAAGTCTAAAACATGTGGTTTTTAGTTTTGCTGCTGCAAAATACTACTATGGACATTGGGAGTCCTCTGTGAAGTGTAAGACCCCAGAGGAGCTGACATGGCTCTCTTTTTCAGTAAGACCACCTTGGGTTTCCTTGGGAAAGCATTTCTTCATGCTCTCTAACTAGTTGTGATGAAGCTGGTTCTTTTGCCTAATTCAAGAGTGAATTTGAGCCAATTTTGGCAAAGAAAGCCTCTGTGAGTTCTATTTATATTGCTTGCAACCCAAAGAACACATCCATTGCATTAGCTCAAAGTCATTTTCCTTCTTGGTCTCTTTGCCACTTCCATCCCAACATTAGCATTAACCAATCCCATAGTTTAACATTGGTGCCAAATTTCATGATGTACATTTCAAGTTGGTGTATTGCCATGAACATGGAACAACGAAACACATTCTCATTTTTATAATATTTATGTAGTGATTTGTAATTTACAAAGCCCATTCACATGAAAAATCTCTGCATTGTACTTTTCCCCTCTACATAACAGATTTTTCTTATAACCAGCAAATAATTATTAGAAACATCTCAAGAGGACATGCATAACAGAAGGATGTGGTTATCATGGATTAAAAGCAGAAAAGTAGTCATTATGTTTAATAATCTCTGAGTGCTCACTAACCACCAAATTCTTTCCACTTATTTTCTCATTCACACTTCAAGCATTTTCTAAAAATCACTGTTCTTAATCCTATTCTACAGATATGAGTCAAAGGCTAGAAGGGGCTAACCCCAAATCAGCAGATGACCCAGTCACTCAACCAAGATTATAACAGGGATGGAAACCCGATTCTGCCTAAGTTCAGAAGCAAACCTCTTCCCCTTGTGTGAAACAACAGACCAGTCACAGACAGGAACACTTCTTGCTCATTGAGCTCCTGAAGGCAACCCCTCAAGGGCTGACATTTCCAAACTGGGTGAATGCTATGTGTTCCCACCACAGGATGCTTAACCAATACTGACTTCCATCACGTAGGGTTTGGAGTGCTAAGAGTTGAAAGTAAGAAAAAAGCATTGCTCTGTGACCTCTCAGTGTGTGTGTGTGTGTGTGTGTGTGTGTGTGTGTGTGTGTATGTGTGTGTGTGTGTGTTCAAGTGCATCTGTGGAGCATATACACTTTGAGAAACATAATCCTGATCAAATGGATAAAGGCATTAGAATGAAAAAGGAAATCATTAAACTGAAGTGATGGGAACTGAAAAGGGTCAGAGGCGGAGGGAAACGGGGATGAGCTGGGACTAGCTGCGGCTTCTGTTTTCTTTGCTGCAGGCTGCTGGTACAGATTTGGAAGTCAAAGGTGAGCCGTGGGTTTCATACAGACGATTCAGTCTCACATGTGGAAGTGAAATTCCAAGAAAGAGCATACGATAAAATTGCTTTGATAGATTTGCAGATATTAGCCAGTCACCCTCACGATAGACATAAAAAAAAAAGATTTTAGGAATTGCATACCTGGCACAGTCTGCAGGATTCAGTTTGTAGATCATGAGGTCACTCTGGTGAAAGGAAAAATACAAGGAGGCATCCTCTTTGTGGCAAGATCTTGTCACTCTCTCCCTACAAACACTTCATTCCTTGATCCACAAAAGACCATTATTAATTATTATTAACTCCCAAGGCACAAACAGCATTTCTAAAAAGTGGTTGAAATGCTCCTTTTGAAGCTGCACAAACTCCACCAAAATTGCTCCCTGAAAACTGTGCTCATCAATTCACTCTCTGGGAGATAGTCTGAGTCTGATCCATTAAGTTATCGTCCTGGTGCAGGGAATTTATCATAATTTATTCTAGGATATTCTAAATTTACTCTGTTGATTGCCCTTGTGTAAACAGTGTCTGCTGTGAGCTGAAGCTGGGTGATTGAATACTGGAACTGGTACTGGCCCGCAGCTACCATGAGGAGTTTTGTGGTTGTTCTATCAGTACAAACTCCAGGGATGTCTAACAAGGGCATCAGTAGTAACAGAAGAAAAAAAAAAATGAGGCTATTTTTTTACACAATGTTAATGGGCCACTTACTGAACTGTATCTCTTTAGCCCAACAACACTAATTCATTATGTTAAAGAATATTGAAAAGTGGTTTGTGTAGGTTCAGCAATAGTATCCTCATTTAGAAAAAAAAAAAACAAAAAATTGTAGAGGTATATAGAACTTCCCTTTTAAATATATTCTGTAAAAACACACCAAAAAATAAGTAACAGTTAGCATTCTTATAACTCTAGTAGAAGGTGTCAAAATTGAAAGAACTCATCTCTTTTTAGTTTTCTAGGTTCCTACTGAGAAATGTATAGGGATTTATTTGATAATCACTGAGGATGCTGAGCATTTATTAAAATTAATGGCACCTGGCTATTCTTTTCCCTTAGTTATTATTCTACCCACCACCCCCACACTTTTTTTTTGCTTCATGTCAAGCCATATGTTTATGGTAGCTATTCTAGTTATTTTTAACCCCTCACCTTTTAACATATACATGGAATTGATTTTCTTGGGTCAATTTTAACTTTGAACTTTGCTGTATTTCAGGATAACTGCATCAAAAAATCTTGTTTGAATATTTTTGACTTGCTTTTTTGCTACCTGCCCCCTCCACAGAAAAAAAATATATAGTTTTGCTTTTGTGTTGAGTTTTTATATATATATATATATAGATAGATAGATAGATAGATAGATAGATAGATAGATAGATAGCTCTGAGCCAAGCTAGATGGCTAACATGCTGAAGCTCTTTCTAGTTGACACTAGCAGGAAGCTATAGGAAAATACTACAAAACAAAGGGATTTTACCCACTATCTCCAGCACTACTTCCTCTGGTCTGTTTTAGCTTAGTTCAAGTTCATTCAGACTCCATTCTGCTGTCACCTCCAACACCATTTATTTCATTTCTTTTTTCCATAACATAGCTGACTCACTGAATGGGTTTCAAGATAAACCAATAGTAAGTGTTGGTGTCTGAATGATACTGTAACTG